ATTTGCTTTGAAAGCCCTTTTGAGAATGCCTACCCATTTTCTTTCTTTCTGTAATCTATTGAATTTATCAGTTGAAGAAAGATCAGCTTTTGGATTCTTCATTGTCATTAATATTTATAGATGGCTACTGATACACCCGCTCTAAATTAAGCTTCTGTGAATTATCGCTTCATGTTGCTAATGAATCTAATCAGATTTTTACCAAAACATGTTTTATGTCTCTTCTTTGGATACTTTTAAATTGATACTATGTTGACAACTTAGTTGAAGTACGCTTCTTGGTTGTTTGGTAACAAATAAAAGTTTTGTAGCAAATGTACTCTTTACTCTATCATCTCTAATGTTATGTGTTGAGTTTTATTAGCACAACTCAAATTTTAGAATTTATATTGTGACCCGATTTTAGAGTTCAAGGGTCCTTGTTAATATTGTAGTTTTGATTTTATTATTATAAGGATATTAGGGTGATGAGCCTCCTTAGTCCCTGCTATCTCTAAGAAATCAAAAAGAGTGAACTCCAATGTTCAAGTGCATTTTACCAATTTTCCAAACACGCAAGTAAGGACTTTTCTATGGAAGATGATAAAACTACATGATAACATAACATAATAAAATATATTTGAAAAGAAATGCATGATGGCTTAGCAACCAAGATTATGTATGGAAAAAAAACCTAGAATATGTTTTTGAGGTACATAGTTGTCGAGCAGACGACGTCTTTTTAATTCAGCTCTGTTTGCTCGTTGTTGAGCAAAAAAGACATTTTTCTAGGGTATTATTAGTTTAAATAACTCACTCGTCTAGCATTTTGGTTCAGTGCATACATTTTCAGAGGTGTGATCATAATTATAACTTCCTGACATTACTTTAGCTTTTCTATTCCAAAAATCCAATGAACCATAGTCCATATATAAAATACTATTTAGTATGGTTATATGGTGATATAATTTCAACTTTAAAGGCACAGTTCATAGGTAAAAATAACTCAGATAAATATAAACATACGATTGTTATACATAGATAATAAAATCAGTGAAAATAGAGATGGGCATATCCAAGATGATCAAACAAATCTTGACATTTGACATAATACCAGCCAAAAGAGCACCATAGACATAAAAAAAAAACTTGGCATTTTAATGCATAGAAGCTAACTGGGAAATTTAAATCCTGTAGAAGATGACACTTGCCAAAGTTAAAAAGGTTGAACACACACAAAGACAATAATCACCACAACACAGACCTGAAGACTCCCAAAACAACTTAGGCTTCAAAATTGGAGTAATACTTAACAAAACAAGGATTGATTTAGATGAAATCCAAGCATCTCATCGTGTCCTAAGTGGAGTGTCACCTGAAATTCTAAAAAATAGCTAAACTCGGGATTATTCAAAGAGACAATATAGTCTAAGGAAGTTCACAACAGCTGAATTCACATATTTCAACAGATGTAAGATTACTAATATTATGAAAAAAAAAATTGTTGCTCAATGAAGCATTGTTCTCACTCTTTCCGTGATCTTCTATCCTCCTCCAATTCCATGGCAAGCTTCTCTCTCTCTAATTCATACCGATGAATGAAGAATAAACAATGATGAGCTACGTCAATGTAAGATAAGATCAATCTTCTACTCTTAACAAAAAAAACAAATAGTAATAATAATTATTGTCAGTAAGTCATTTCTAAGTTTCAGTATCTCTTGCTCAAGCACCGCGGAATGTGATAGCCCTATGTAAGAGGTTTCATCCCATATTAGATACTTTTTGTGCAACTTATGAATATGAATCTTGAGATCGAGACAAGACAATCACCTGAAGTTTCATGCGTAGTACCTCTATTTTCTTTTTTGGCTGCTTTAATAAGGCTGCATCATTTAGTATCTAAAACAAAGTTGAACTACAATAAGTTCTGGCTTAGGCGTCAAAGAAAGAAGCTAGTAATTAATAAGAATTTTCATCATTTGGTTCCACTGGGAAGAAAATCTGCAAGAAAGAATTCTACAAGGATGAAACTTGTGATTTGTAAGATAATAAAAATTAAAAGCATTTAAAGAATGCTCTATACTGCTTGTCGGTAAAACTCACCTCCCTTTTGCTTTAAAAATTGGTGCTCGAATAGATGTTTTAGACTACACTCTATAGTATCTATATACCAGAACTAATTAACTGTTGCATCATTTAGGAATTTTCAGAAAAACAAATCTTTTTGGTAGATTTGTTAAACCTTGGTTATGACAGAAAAAGAATGTAGTCCTAAGTGTTGAAATTGCATTGGAGCTTGATTTGAAAGTTTTATATGCAAGGTATAGTGTCTTAGGAACTAATGTTAAACTAACCTAATTATAGTAACAGGAACACTTCTATTCACAGCAACATATGTGACCATTTAATCTCATTAGTTGTTCTCTAGAGTGGATCATGAACAAGTAATTATATAAAAAGAATAGTAAATGGAGGCAGACCCCATTGACTTGAACACAGTTAGTGATCCATTTAACTTGCTAGCAAATTGGAGTATTCCCTTTAATACAACACATAACCATTATAATTTGGGTATCAATGTAAAATTTCAAACAAAATGAGAATCAACTTGTGTTGATTTGCGTTGCTTCAAATCTTAATTGTTAAATGAAACTAACACCGTCTTTTTGAAGAAAAAAAAGGGGCATACAATGTATGTAATCTAGAAATGCAACTCAATTGAAGAGATAAAAATATGCAATAGTGCCGCTAGTTTAGAGAAATAAAGAAATATCTAAGAGAAAAATGAAACTGAAAAGGAGAACTAAAATGACTCACAATAAAACATGAAGCAACAGTCTGCCAGCAACTAACCCTTATCTTTTTAATTTTCAATGTATTTTCAACTCAAAGTTTCAGTAGTTCCTTCCATCGATAGACAAAAAATATCGAGCAAAAACCTAGCAATAACCATGAAATGAGAGAGTCGGAAGAGACTCTGAAATAGCAAAAGAAAATACGTACAAAGAAATCTTGTTTCGCTGTTGATAGAATAACCTAACTGTTGCTTCTAGAATTTGAGCAGAGTGAGCAAATGACAGAGATAGTACTTATTATATAATTGAGCTAAATGACTGATAGAACTAATGTCAATGCTCTATAGAATTTCTGTATATTTTTTTCCCAACTATTCAAACTCCACAACTCCTATAGCTATGATAAGGAAGAGACATCTTATATTAACATCATGTCCTTTTTTGTACTACTATATAAGTAAGCAAATAGAACTGATATCAATTCTCTATAGAATTTTGCTAGATTTTTCCCCAACTCCTCACCCCCGGCTCTCCTCTTCTATAGCTATGATTTAACAAAACATTACAATGCAACTCTTCAAATGCTTGCAGTCCACTTAAAATTATATGCAAGTATTAGATAACATTTACAAATAATTTACTTTCCCTAGGAGCTAAGCCAAATTTTGGTACTTAAGAAATGAACTCTTTGTCCACATTTTTAAAATACTACACGTACACACCACAATTGAAAATTATCTTCACAAATTAAGACGGCAGACACAACAATTGATTTTTATTATTTATTTGAAAGAACATGAAGCCATATATAACTTATTATTCTTTTTTTTATATGCTCTTTGTTGGAAATTTAGCATTTTAAATTAATAAAATTTGTCATTTGGAAAGCCACTGTGTCCGTTAGTGGCAGTTTTCTTACATATTGTTTTAAGTAATATATGTGACATTACTATCCACTCATTATGTGCATTTCATTTTGGGCTTAATTGCTCATTATTTTGGAGGAAATAAAACGTTGCTAAGAACGTCGGCAGACTGATCATGGGCAGCACATTTGTTGTCAGTTGTTAACATTGGTTATCAAACCTCAATTCCACTCTTTATTCCTCCATTATATCTTGTAACATATGTAACTCCTAAGGTCATTATCTTCACTAGTTACTACCCATTATCTTCCTATTCATTGCTAGGAAGACTCACTCAACTATAAATAGTGGTGGTCTTCATTTGGTTTGGGACACAACATACAAGAAAATATATAGAGAAAAAAGTTAGTCAAAAAAGAGAGTTCTTATTAGTTGAAGGAAGGTATTCTTTTTTGTGGAGCTTTGGACTCAACTCTTGTCAAGAGTTGTTGAGATATACTTTGTGAAGACTGTTGTATCCTGGAGGGGTGACTTGACGTATCAGGACACTACTTCCGGTTCGAGTGTCAATGATCGTTAGTCAGTATATAACCTAACCAAGGGTTGGGATCGTTCCCACAGGGAGTGGTTTCGAGAATTATCAGCCAAGTACAAATCAGTTCATGTTAGTCTTAGCTAAAAGACATTTTCGATTAAAAACATACTTAAATCAAGGGATAAGAAGAATGTCAATTATCAATGGGGGGTTTTCTTTATCAACTAAAAACAGCAAAAATATAAAGATGTGAATATGGAGACGGGATTCTTGGGATGTGATAGGAATATGGGATAAAATACACAATTGGGTACATGCTATTGATAGTGAATTGTTGAACATTTGTGACTAGGCTAGACTTTAGTGGGGGTAAATTCTCTCTCGAGCAACTTACCCCGAATCAAATTGGTTTCTCTCGAACACCGATTTGCCGCATTAAGCACATCCTCCGCCTTAGCCCATTCACTCTCTCAAGCTGAATGTGTGGGAGAAGGACTAGGATTCACTCTCTCGAGCTGAACCCATGTCGACCCAAGACCACCGGCTATCAAATCGGTCTCTCTCTCGAGCAAGCCAAAAACACAAAGATGAAATCGTATTTGCAATTACAATCCCATTAAGTTCATACACAACTACTAAATGAAATCACATTTAAACAACAAATAAACTATCAACAAGCAAGACCCAACAGTAAATTTAACCCATATTCACATAATCACACCCCAAGAATTGGGGTTTTAGCTAGACATGAAAAAGAGATAGAAATCGATACCGATAAGTCTTTCCATCATATGGGTATGACAAATAAAGTCTTTAATCACGTCAAGGTTGAAGATTCTTCGAGACCCACTTTCAATTACTTGAAGTTGAAAATCCTCAAAACCTTCAAGGTGTATGAACAATGTCTCCACAAAATCTAAGAACTAAAACTTAGTAAAAATCTTTGAAAATTCGAGTCTAAAATTACTAGATATCGCTAGCTAACAATTTAAACAAATATTTATAGTATTCAGAAATTTGTGCTGCAAAGGATCACTCGGCGCAGTTAGTCGGGATTGCCGGTCAACTCGGCGATCCGCCTTCTAGTCTAGCTCATCACCTTTCTGCTTTGGCCTTCAGCATCTTCGCATTTTGAGTCGTTGGGCGATGTGGTACTGCTTCACAGAACTTCTCGGCGATACGCCGACTGCTCTTTTTCACCGCCGACTTGATCTTTTCCTTCAGGGCTCAGCACACTAGAACATTAAGCAATCTCCAGGCCTATCGATGACTCGCCAAATGGGCTCGGCGATCTTCAGGCCTTCATTTCTTCGTTCTTATCAACCACCTTGTTCCTTTTTGCTCGATAGCATCCATGCTTTGTCTCTGAACTCAAATACCTGAAACTCAAGGTTTTTCATCAGTTATTGAGACAAAATGTGCATTTGAGGACACTAAATCTATCAAAATACAGCCCTAAATGAGTCCAAATCGTAGACTCATCAAGGGGACAAGTCAAGAGGACTACTGCGTGAAAAACATTTATTACAGTGGGATTGAATCTCCTTAAAGAGAGCGAGATATCCGCGCCTCAGCCTGAAGAGAATTATTTCTTCATTTTTATTTTCAATTGTAATCTTGTAATTTTGTCATTTTTGTAATTTTTCACTAACAATTTTAAGGAGATTCACCATGGCTACAATTGAAAAACCCGTAGATGTCAAGATGGGAGACCTTAACAAGCCATTTCGGTTCAATGGTAACCATTTCAAGAGATGGAAGGATAAAGTACTTTTCTACTTAAGTCTTCTCAATGTTTCTTATGTGTTGACGGAGAAGGATCCTAATAAAGTAGACATCACCTCTATGAATGATGATGTAACTATATCTCATCTAGAGAAAGTTGAAAAGTACGATGGTGATTCTTATAAGTGTCGGTATTATATTTTTAATTGTCTATCTAATAATTTGTTTGATTATTATGATAGAACTTACTCTAGTGCAAAGAAAATTTGGAAAGCATTGCAGAGTAAGTATGATACCGAAGAGGCGGGAGCGAAAAAATATGCGGCTAGTAGCTTTTCATTTCCAAATGGTGGACAATAAATCAGTGGTAGACCAACCTCAAGACTTTATAATGATTGTTGGAGAGCTTAGGTCCGAGGAGGTTAAAATTGGAGATAGCCTTATTGTTTGTGGCATAGTAGATAAACTTCCATCTTCTTGGAAGGAATTTCAAAAAACTATGCGCCACAAACAAAAGGAAACCTCCCTTGAAACCATGATAATGAAAATCTGCATGGAAGAAGAAGCAAGGGGTCAAGATGCACTTTTACAAACAGAAGAGAACAACATCACAACGAAGGTAAATTTAATTACTTTAAATAATGCTACTCCTGAAAACTCACAAAAATACTTCTTTGAAGCCTAAGAAGAAAAAATTCAAGAAAAATAATGATAGACCTCCCAAGAAAAATAATGGTGAAAATAATCAAGCACATAATCAACAGGTTCAAGACAAAGGACCGGGCTTTGTTTGTGGCAAGAGTGGGCATATTGCTCAATTTTGCAGATTTCGAAAACGTGGTCCTAACCCTCAGGCACAGGTTACCAAAGAACCTTTTGGCGGTGATTACCGACATAAACATGGTTGGGAGTGTTGATGGATGGTGGGCTAATTCTGGTGCAAACCGTCATGTCTGTTATGGCAAAGATTGGTTTAAAAAATATATTCATTTTGAGGAGCCCAAAACCATCATGCTTGGTGATTCACATACCACTCAAGTGATTGGAACGGGAGATGTCGAATTGTGTTTTACTTCTGGAAGGGTATTAACTTTGAAAGATGTACTTTATACTCCTTCCATGAGAAAAATTTGATGTCTAGTTTTCTTCTTAATAAAGCAGGTTTTAAACAGATTATTGAAATTGATCAATATGTAATAGTGAAGGGTATTTTGTGGGAAAGGGGTATGCATGTGATTGGATGTTCAAACTAAATGTTGAAATGAATAAAGTTTCTACTTCTGTTTATATGCTTTCTTCTACCAATTTTTGGCATGCTCGTTTGTGTCATATTAATGATCGTTATGTTGGAATCATGAGTAGTTTAGGACTAATCCCAATGGTTAAAAAGAATTTTAAAAAGTGTGAGGCTTGTAGTAAAGCTAAAATCACTAAAAGGCCTCATTTTCAAGTTGAAAGAAAAACTGATTTGTTAAAATTAGTTCATACTGATATTTGTGAACTTGGTGGAATTTTAACTTGTGGAGGTAATAGATATTTTATCATTTTCATTGATGATTTTGCTAAGTTTAAATATGTTTACTTGATGAAAAATAAAAGTGATGTTTTTGAAAATTTCAAAACTTATCTCCATGAGGTTGAAAATCAATTTGGAAGAAAAATAAAAAGAATTAGAAGTGATAGAGCCCGCGAATATGAATCAAATTAGTTTAATTATTTTGTTAGATCATTGGGAATAATTAATGAAACTACTCCTCCTTACTCTCCTTCATCTAATGGAGTAGCGGAAAGGAAAAATAGAACTTTGGTTGAATTGACAATGTCATGCTTATTGAGTCACATGCACCTTTAAATTTTTGGGGTGAAGCTATTTTAACCGCTCGTTATGTGTTGAATCGTGTGCCTTATAAAAAGTCTAAACTGACACCTTTTGAATTGTGGAAAGGTTACAAGTCAAGTTTGGGATATCTAAGAGTTTGGGGTTGTCTAGCCTCTGTGTGGCTAATGGATCCCAAGATTACAATATTGGGTAAGAAAGTTACTACTTGTGCTTTTCTTGATTATGCTTCAAATAGTACAGCCTATATATTTTTTAATCTTGTTGTGATAGAATCCGGGAATGCTATTTTTCATGAAAATAAGTTTCCTTTTGATTCTAAAAATAGTGGGGAAAAAGGATTGAACAAAATATTTTGTCACTACCTAGTTCTTCTACTTCTACATTAAAAAATAAAGAATTGATGATTTTGAGTTAAGAAGAAGTAAAAGAACTAGAGTAGAAAAACATTTTGGTCCTGGTTTTTATGTGTTTAAGGTTGGAGATGACCCTCTCACTTTGAAAGAAATGTGACTAATGCACTAGGCCTGATATTGCATATGCAGTAGAAGTACTTGGCAAGTTTACAAGCAAGCCAGGTAATGAACATTGACATGCTATAACAAGAGTTATGAGATATTTAATTGGAACAAAAAATTGTGATTTGCTCTATAAAAAATATCCTGTTGTACTTGAAGGCTTTTGTGATGCAGATTGGAACACTTTATCAGGTGATTCCTGTTCTACCACTGGTTATGTATTTACTTTGGGTGGTGGTGCTATTTGTTGGAGATCAAAAAAGCAAACAATAATTGTTAACTCTACCATGGAGGCTGAACTAATTGATTTAGCTTCAGCTAGTGACGAAGTGAATTGGTTAAGAGATTTATTAATTCAAATACCTTATTTTGAAAAATCAATTCCTCTTATTTTAATTCATTGTGACAGCACCGCTGGTGATTGGTAGAGTTCAAAACTGTTACTACAACGGTTAATCCAGACCTATAAGGAGGAAACACAGTAATGTAAGATCATATTTGACAAATGGTACCATTAATGTTGATTATGTCAAATCTTGTGATAATCTTGCAGATCCTCTTACTAAGGCCTTAACGAGAGAAAAGGTTTGGAGCACATCGAGGGGCATGGATTGATGCCTATAAATTCTTGAGTCATATATTAGAAACTCAACGTGGGACTAGAGATCCTATAACCAAGTTCAAAGGGAAAAACTAATCATATGATGACTTATTGTGAAAAATGCACTAATTTTTTTACTCCCTCCCTATGATGTGAGTGCATTGTTTCCTGTAGTAATTTGTGAAGGTTGAGTTTACAAAACTCTTAATGAAAATATGTATCCCGTATGGGTGGAGTGTTGAACTTACAGGAGCACTCTCGACAGATTTCACCTATGTGAGTGTGGAAGTAGGTCGCTTCCTATGAGAATAGGGCTTATTCTCAAATGCACTCATGAAATCGGGATAGCACAAGGCCATAACGTGCTAGCTTTAAAGCTCATGTCAACACCTTTATTATTATGTGTGGACAGTGATATTTTATTTCCCTCAAGCAGTCATAGTTCAAGTCTGAGACCACTACGACTCTGATAGTAAAAGTTACTGTTTCACTAAGTAGAGGTTCAATGCAGAGCACACCTTCATTATGCATGGTAGTCTTCCTTCAATGGATAGACTCTCTTGATTAATAATAAAATGAGTGGGGGATTGTTGATAATTTAGCATTTTAAATTAATAAAATTTGTCATTTGGAAAGCCACTGTGTCCGTTAGTGGCAGTTTTCTTACATATTGTTTTAAGTAATATATGTGACATTACTATCCACTCATTATGTGCATTTCATTTTGGGCTTAATTGCTCATTAGTTTGGAGGAAATAAAACGCTGCTGAGAACGTTGGTGGACTGTGTTGGGGTTTATTTGCCCTGATTTCTTACCATAAATAGGTTTTCCTTTTAGGAAAAAGTTTTAATATTTTACTAGTCCTTTTCTTGTAGGAAAGGTTTAGGACTCTATAAATATAGGCTTGTTCCTTCTAACTTAATTAGCATTCACAATGTAGTCCTAGGGTTTTGAGAGTTGCGGTTATGGAGGAGGAATATTGTGTACCTCCTTGTATTCCGAGTGAATTGTTTGAGGTTGTTTCTCTCTATATTTTGTACTCTCATATTTATAGTGGATTGCTCATCTCCTTTGTGGACGTAGGTCGATTGACCGAACCACGTTAAATCTGTCTCTTTTGGTGTGTTTCTCGTTTGTCTTCTTACTCATGGTCTTTCGAGGTTTGCTTTGTTAGCTTCCGCGTTACACCTGCTTATTTCGGTCCTAACAAGTGGTATCAGAGCCATGGTTCAATGATGGAACTAGGTTACTGATATTGTCCGCTTTGGGTCAAGCCCTCACGAATTTGTTTTTGGGCACATCCCAAAAGGCCTCATACTAATGGAGTTGGGTGAGCACTTATATATTGGTACATTTCTTCTTCTCCATCCGATGTGGGATAAGTTTGTTACCCAACAATCCTCCCCTCAAACCAAGACCACACAATTCGTAACCTCCCCTTCAACGATGATACATTTGATCTGTGCTAACCATCTTGCACCGCCACTACCGACCAGTGGGACATGCCGCTTGACCACCACTTTGTCAAGAAGACTTTCGACACAAGGCATCAACCGCAGATCTCCAATCGCTAGGTCACACCATCTGATCTGCCAAATCATCTTGCACCGCCATTATCACATAACGGGACACGCCGCCTGGACCACCACTTTGCCAGGAAGACTTTCGACACAAGGCACCCCTGCAGATCTCTGGTCTTGTTGTCACATCGGGAACTTCTCACAAAACGCAGTCCACTACTCCGACACACCCGAACCTGGGCTCTGATACCACATGTTGGGACCGCACGTACCACCACCCTAACTCCACATTAGTATGATATTGTCCGCTTTGGGTCAAGCCCTCACGGATTTGTTTTTGGGCACATCCCAAAAGGCCTCATACTAATGGAGTTGGGTGAGCACTTATATATTGGTACATTTCTTCTTCTCCATCCGATGTGGGATAAGTTTGTTACCCAACAGACTGATCATGGGCATCACATTTGTTGTCCGTTGTTAACATTGGTTATCAAACATCAATTCCATTCTTTATTCCTTCATTATACTACCTTGTAACATATGTGACTCCTAAGGCCATTATCTTCACTATTTACTACCCATTATCTTTCTATTCATTGCTAGGAAAACTCACTCAACTATAAATAGTGGTGGTCTTCATTTGGTTTGGGACACAACATACAAGAAAATAGAAAAAAAAGTTAGTCAAAAAAGAGAGTCCTTATTAGTTGAAGAGAGGCGTTCTTTTTTGTGGAGCTTTGGACTCAACTCTTGTCCAGAGTTGTTGAGTTATATTTTGTGAAGATTGTTGTATCCTGGAGGGAACAAGTCAAGAGGACTACTGCTAGACCGGTGAAAAATAATTGTTGCAGTGGGCTTGAATCTCCTTAAAGAGAGCGAAATATCCGCGCCTCAACCTGAAAAGATATATTTCTTCATTTTTATTTTCAATTTTAATCTTGTAATTTTGTTATTTTTGTAATTTTTCACTAACACTCTTTGCCAGAAAACATTCGCAAGGCAACCAAGATCAAATAACATAGATTACAATCACACAAATCATTATTTTCCAAAATTGAAGAACAAATAAAGAGTGAGAGAAGAGAAAGGAAGAGGAACTTACCAGTTACCAGTACGAGAGAACAGAGGAGTGAGGAGTGAGGAGTGAACTCGGTTGGTGCCTATTTATTTGTGTCAAACACCTAGTCAAAATGGGGAAATATCGTAGGTTGTGGTTTTTATAAAAATCAGGTGACTTGTGGAGGAAAAATCAGGTAATTTTGTTATTTTTGTAATTTTTCACTAACACTCTTTGCCAGAAAACATTCGCAAGGCAACCAAGATCAAACAACATAGATTACAATCACATAAATCATTATTTTCCAAAATTGAAGAACAAATAAAGAGTGAGAGAAGAGAAAGGAAGAGGAACTTACCAGTTACCAGTACAAGAGAACAGAGGAGTGAGGAGTGAACTCGATTGGTGCCTTTTTATTTGTGTCAAACACCTAGTCAAAATGGGAAAATATCGTAAGTTGTGTTTTTTAGAAAAATCAGGTGACTTTACCAATGAAATGAGAAATGGTTAAGTTGATGCATAAGGAGTTGGTAGAGGTATTCCTACTTTCTTGAATTGCATGAAATTGTTTGAGCCTTGTTGATGTGGAGTTGATGTTTCTCCAAGCTATGTGTGAAGTTTATAATGTTGTATGTTTGATTGTGGGCTGTTAGTTTTGAGTTAATTACCCTTAATGTGGCTCAAGTGTCATTCGAGGACGAATGTTCCCAAGTGGGGGATATTGTAAAACCTCCACTTTGTTTGTGTCAAACACCTAGTAATTCGGTTGTGAACTCGGTTGGTGCCTATTTATTTGTGTCAAACACCTAGTAATTCTAGAAAAATCACGTAAGTTGTGGTTTTTAGAAAAATCAGGTGACTTGTGGAGGAAATATACCACAAAGTTGATAGAATTTTTAAAATAAAATAAAATAGATGTGAAATACCAAAATTGCCCTTAATGTATTGTTCATCCTTTTAGCAGAATTAGACATTGTTCTGCATAATTTAAACATCACATCCAAATAAACATGATGATCACTGACATTAAACTATGTTCTTAAATGGAGCATTGCAAGACTCATTCTTTAAAAAAAGAAAAGAAAATAAAACTCATAATATATGTTGAAAAATCGTTGCTTATAACAATATCTCAAAATATAACCTGTCTTAAATTTCTCATAACAGAGAATCAGGAAGCACATATATTATATTGATATCAACAACTGAAAAGGAAAAAAAAGTACACGCCTTTTTACTTGAAATCCTTTGTAGTTGAGTGCGACTTGCTCAGAAGCACCTTTCTTGGAAGCTAAAATTTAGATAGATTAATGATTAAGAGGAGCTTTGATAACCAAAATTGAATATTTTGAAAAGCTAGAAGAGCTAGAAAAGAGTTAAGAAGAATAGGATCCCAAGAAAAATGAGTTTCCAAAAAGTACGGCTAACAAGAAAAGAAAACTGATATATATGTATATACTAATATGTGAAAATGATCGTGGTCGTCCATGGGCTTCACTCTTCTATATAGTAGAAAAATGTCCACACACATGATTTTTAACCCTTTCACTTTATGTTGGTGCTTATGAAATGAGTATCTCGAAGTTATTAACTGATCGGATATTGTGTGAATATGTAAGTTACAACTTGCAGCTTATTCACAAGTGTATATAAGTTAAAAATTAGATGGGATGTCCAAACACAATGTTAGATAACAGAAACATGAATATCAAACAAAAGTTAGCTAAAAACAGTCAAATCGAACAGAAGAAAAAATAAGAACAACTGAACAGTAGATCAAAATGAACCATTTCCAACTATTAACTTACCAACAAATCAACGAACTTACAAATAAGCACATTTAAGACTGATCAATTCTATAACTTAGATATCGTGAAACACAATTGCTCATCCTAAATACCAATACAACAGTTACAACTATTTTAAATCTAATAAAACTAACAATGAAGCCTAAACAATAAAAAATAACAGATACAAACACTCCACAATGAACTTAAAGTTCTACATGAATTAAACATCTATTTGATTTATTTATTTTTATTTATGTATTTTAAAATTATTATTTTTTTAGTTAGGAAACAAACTAAATATATAAGTTTTTAACGAAGATCAAACAAATTCAAGAAAAGAAATAAAAAATTTACTAATAACTTACCCGAAATTAACTGAACCTGAAGAATAGATGAAGCAAGATATAACACTTTGGTAAGCAAGAAGATGAAATCTTTGGAGAAGGTGAAACTAAAAGGTTATTTAAAGAAAAAGTGAAAATTTCTAGAGAGAGATATTTTGATACTTATATTTAACATTTCTCCACGTGGAGAGAAGTTTGTGAACAAGTACAATAAAATTAAATATCACAAAAAATGACAATTATACCCTTCAAGATCATTCCAGATCTAATCGCCTTAAAAGATTATGTTTCTCCCTTCAACCTTTTCTCGTTTCCTCCAACTCCCCCAAACAACTCGTTCATTCTCTCTTCTCTCTTATCTAATTATATTATTCCCTCTATTCAATGATAATTGTTCATTATTAACTTGATACACATCTTAAGGAGCAATAAATAATACTATTACTTTGGGAAATGCATTAGAACTGAATAGTGGTAAAACAAACACATATTTTACTACAGAGCAAGTATATTTTACCTCAAATGCACTCCCTTCGTTGATATTTAGGAGCAAAACTACAAAGTAATTGAAAAAAACGTAGATATGAAAAAAAATTGGGCAATTATTATGGGTATTGATTACTTATACAGTGCGAATCAAGAACGTACTTTTTTTAGAAAAATAAAGTAGGAGAGGGAATTGAAGATTTGCATGTGAATAAATCAGAGAAAGAAATCACAAGAAAAAAGTGTTGGAAACTTGAAAGGAAAATTTTATTATAGAAAGTTGAAAGGAAAAGCATACCTTGTGCTTGCTGAAGATGAAAGAGAGGAATTTTGAAGTGAGTGTGCGTCTGAATTTGAATTATCTGGAAGAGAACAAACCTTAGATGGAAGAGGTCAATTCTATACGTACCCGTGCGTTGCACGGATAATTTAAAATATAATAATTTTTAAATTTAAAATAATTAATATGAATTATTATTAAGTAACAAAGTGCATGTATAGTCATATGTAATGTCTTAATGTTTTGTATACATTTAATGCTAACAAATGTTTACCCTAATTTATGTGCAATGAGTGTATGTTCTTCAAAGACACTAAACGTTATTCTAACAACTTCTCCTTCTTCTAGTATAATGAAGACTGATAGCATGTGTAGTATGTGTTCAATTGATATTTGTGCTAAATAATTAAATTATAAATTCATAGATCAATCTAAAATGTAGTATTAAAAATTTTGTATCTACTATTAGCTAAAATCTAAAAATAATTTACAAAGCAAGTTGCAATCTCTTTAGTACACTTTCTCTTTCATTTAATCTTGCAAAATAAGACGATTTTCATTTAATCTTAATACAATCTCATAAAATAAGAATGTACAAAATACTAAATACGTGCATTTAGTTGATTTGTAATTTCTTAGTATTTTTTAATTAATATTTTTTTAGAAAGTCTGCAAATTATTAATAATATTTTTTTTTAAGAAAATCTGCAAATTAATAATAATATATAACTATCCGTTTTTGTTTTTGGCACTTTTTATGTGAAAAAAGTTTTTTATATAATTGTTTTTCAAATTAAAATTATATTTTTTGGAGATAATTTTTTAAAACAAATATCCAAACTAAAAATTTGATAATTTTTTTTGATGATGACATGCGACACTATTTTGCAAAATATTATATGGAAAAATCACACCATATACACATTTAAGAGATAATATTACGGGTTTTAAACATACTTTTAAAATATTCTTACTTATAACAGTTTATTTACGGGTTATAACATATCAATTAAATTTAACTTTATTTAAAAATTAATTAAAATTTAATTTAATAAATGATTAATCTCTTTATATTTTTATATTATTAATTATTAATAGTTAATTAATTTGATTGCAGTTCCTTTTTTAAAACATAAATTATCAGTTACACAAATTTAGGGATTTACATTGATTAGAGTTCCTTGATTACTGTTACATTCCAAACCTCCCATTCACAT